GACCATTTGTGCTTCCTCTTTGGAGAAATGTCTTTTTAGCTCTTAATACCCATTTTTTGCCTGGATTGTTTGCTTTGTCTTGTTGAGTCATGTGAGTTCTTTGTAGATCTTTGTGATCAGTCACAAAAATTTTCTCCCAGTCAGTAGAGTGTCTCTTTGTTTTAGCTAATGTTTCTTTTGCTGTGCAGAAGCTTTTCTTTTTCAGTTTGATGTAAGCCCAGCTGTTTATCTTTTTCTTCACTTTCTTTGCTTTGGGGGATGAGTCTTTAAGATGTTACTAAGATGATGTCATATAGTGTTTTACTTATATTTTCTTCTATATGTTTTATGGTTTTAGGTCTTAAGTTCAATTCTTTTATCCATTTTGAATTAATTTTTTTTTTTTTTTGTAAATTTTATTGTTATATTCCCCATACAATTGCAGCCCCCCCATTCTGACCCCAATCCCTCCCCTCCCGCCCCCGCCCCCCTAAAAGTGTCTCTGGTTCATAGTTTTTTGTTGATTTTGATTTTCACTTTCTTATAGTTACATTTTGAATTAATTTTTTTGCATGATGTGAGTTAGTAGTCTAGTTTCATTCTTTTGCATGTGGTGGACCAGATTTCCCAGCACCATTTATTGAACAGACTGTCCTTGTTTTATTGCATATTCTTTGCTCCTTTGGTCCATATATGTGTGGCTTTATTTCTGGGCTTTCTATTTGAGTCCAGTGGTATGTGTGTCCTTTTTTTCCCCAGTACCATAATGTTTTAATTATTATGGCATTGTAGTCTAGTTTGAAGTCTGGGAGTATGATAGCTCCATTCTCCTCCTTTTTATGTTCATACTCCATCTGGGAGTATGATAGCTCCATTCTCCTTCTTTTTATTCATGAGAGCATTGGCTATTCAAGGATTTTGTGGCTCCATATGAATTTCATCAATATTCTATTTCTTTGAAGAATATCATTGAGATTTTTACTGGGATTGTGTTGAATCTGTAAATTGCTTTTGGTAGGATGGCCATTTTAATAATGTTAATTCTTCCAATCCATGAGCAGGGGATGACTTTCTACCTTGGTTAAGTTTATTCCCAGGTATTTGAATTTTTTTGTTTTAGTTGTAAATGGGATGGTTTCCTTAATTTCTTTTTCAGATTGATTGTTCACATGTAGGAAGGCTACTGATTTTTGTGTGTTGATTTTGTATCCTGCTATTTTGCTAAACTGGCTTATTTTAATTAGTTTTTCTGTGGAGTTTTTAGGGTTCTCTGTGTATATTATCACATTGTTTGCAGATAGTGATCGTTTTACTTCTTTCCCTATTTGAATTCCTTGTATGTCTTTTTCTTGTCTTAGTGCTCTGGCTAGGACTTCCAATTTTATATTGAAAAGCAGTGGCAAGAGTGGACATCCTTGTCTTGTTCCTGATCTTACAGGAAAGGCTTTCAGCTTTTTACCATTGAGAATAATATTGGTTGTGGGTTTGCCAGATATGGCTTTTATGATGTTAAGGTGTGTTCCTTCTGTACCAAAAATTGCGAGGGCCTTCATCATAAACAGATGCTGAACTTTGTCAAATGCTTTCTCAGCATTTATTGATAGGATCATATGGTTTTTATTTTTCTTTTTGTTGATGTGTTGGATTACATTAATTGATTTTTGGATGTTGAACCATACTTATGCCCCTGGAATAAATCTCACTTGGTCATGGTGTATTATCCTTTTGATGCATTGTTGGATTCTGTTGGCAAGGATTTTATTTATTTATTTTAAGCAATTTTTTTTAAAGATTTATTTATTTATACAAGAACCGGGGTACAGGCCAGATGTGTGGGAGGATTCACCAGAGACAGAGTGGGGAACAGAACAGGCAGACTGACTGAAATACACAGCTGAGGGGAGCAGCGGTGAGACAGGAGAGGTCTGCCCCACCATGTGGGTTGCTCTGTGCTCGGTGGGGATCAAACCTGCACTGCAGAGGCTGCAGACAACTTCACAGTGCTGCGCTTAACCACCTGCACCACCAGGGAGGCCCCTGGCAAGGATTTTATTGAAGATTTTTCTATCAGTGTTTATTAGGGAGATTGGCCTATAGTTTTCATTTTGTGTGTTGTCTTTTTTGGATTTGGTATTAATGTAATGTTGACTTCATAAAGTGTATTTGGTAGTATTCCTTCTTCCTCAGTTTTTTGAAAGAGTTTGTGTAGGATAGGCAATAGTTCATTTCTGAATGTTTGGTAGAATTCATTTGTGAAGGAGTCCTTTGGTTATCTTAAATATGCAGTTGCTCTATTCATAGTATATAATATGCACTAAAATTTAGAAAAGAGTTTTCCTGAGGCTTTGGTTTTGCTTTGTCTTTATTATATTAAATAATAAACTCTAACACTAAATTATAATAAATATATAGTAAATAATAAAATATAGTCAATAATAATATAGTGTGATGTTAATATAGTAAATAATTAGTAATAATTGAAAAATAAAAGTTTTAAGAAGAACTAAACTACCTCTAAAAGCCAGGCTATTATAGCAGGATAGGTCGGGTTCACCTGCTTTTCAACTTTGTCAGGTAAAAGAACAAACTATGTCTTTAGATACTTAATATTATGTGTGCTTGAGACATAAAAGCTGTGGTGTATGAGTTGGCATTACTATTTGGAGGGACTCCTGGAAAGTGACACTGAGGATGACTGCAATAAAGCTTTCCTGCCCTGTGTGCTAGTGATTGAAATAGGGAAAGGATGAACCTTTAAGTTTCTTAACTAAGGTATTGGCATCTGACCAAAGATTGACATTGATGTAGTATAGTGGTGAAAGTGAGTCCCATATGCCCTCTGGAATTCTGCCATTTCTTCATATGGTGAAACTCAGAGGTGTCATATCATCACTTATCAGCAAACAGTTAATATACAAAAGAAAAATGGTAATGATATGCACTTCCTTTCATTCTCATTCTAAAAGCTGCAAATAAATCTTAGATTTTCAGATCTTTGATTATTTTATTAATTTAGCAGATGGAAGTTATATTTAAACTTAATAAGTGAGATAATTATGGGTTTGTTCCTAGATCCTATCCATATACTTCAGAATAAGAGGCCCATGCTTAAGTCTATTCTGCTCAAGCTTTCAAATTCCTTTGACAGCCTGGTTGTGAAATTCAAAAGCCATTAATGTGATGTGTTAATTTTGCACTTTTTGACTTACTGCAAAAAAATCTTATAGTTTCCATAGCAACAATAACCTATCCAGATTGTGTAATATTCTTTACAGTATTAAAAATAAAACTATGTAATTACATGAGCTTCTGGAGAACTTCATTTAGGGGAACTGAAAATTGAAATATTTCTGTTTTAAAAAATTAAGTTTTCATGTGAGAATTTTGTGGGAAAGCTCATATAATTTTATGAATTTATTAAATTTAAATATTTAGTAGTAGATACCAGGTAGTTGATTTAATTATTAGATGTGTAAAATTTACATTATAAGTGTCGAGTTAAAGCATCTCTGGTACAAGTGCTTTCACATACATGCCCACACATACATTTAGGGTAGGGGGTACATTTGGCTTTAATCACATTCAGTCACATGCTGCTTGTACTTCTTAGTAGGTCCTGGGTGGTCTGAAAAAAGTTTAGTTTTATGTTTGGAGGAAAGAGGATGGTGATAAAGTATCACATGATCATGTAAGCTTTCCGTTTCTGACTTTACTTTTTAAGACATTTCTAAGATACCACTTTCAAAATACTAAAGATTGTTGCAGTGGGTGACTGTTTTCACTGTCTAATTATTTTGGCTTTTTTCTTTTTCTCTCTAATTCTAATTTAAAAGTAACACTAAAGGTAGTAACATTTTCCTACATTTAACACAACTTTCATTTTTTATATCACCTTCAACATATCAAGATGTATGTATACTTTTATGTGGCATCATTTGTAGATTTTCTCAGTGGATTGTAAATATTTTATATGTTTCTAATGACCTTCCTGATTATCATTTTAATAATTGCATAAGTCCATTTTGTTGGCATATATTGTACACACACTTTCTGCTTATCAAAATGTTGCTTATTTCCTGTATGCCATGTATTGAAAACAGAACTTTCAAATTGATTGTAGGAGAAAGTAACTGTAATTCAATTATTTGTCCAAAACACAGATGATTGTGAAATTCTTCAAAAGGCATGTAAAATGATGCTTATTTTGATTAACCTCTAAAACTGCCTTATCTGCTAACACACAGTGGGGAAACTGAGAATAATGTTTGCACAGGTCTCTCTTGTGGTACTATTACTGTTTTTATGGACAATATCACATTACTGGACTGTTGTTTTTTCTTGGTTAGGCACCCTGATAACCACTGAGGTTTCCCAGAATTTCTAATCCTGCTTCAATTTGGAATATTTACTGAGTTTCTTCCTAGAGTTGCTGAGAATGATATATGTGACTAGAGTTTTGGAGTCTTTCCATGGTTTTTGGTTGAGGTCTTGGGACTTTTGAATGTCATTTTTCCTGGTTTTGAACTAGTATCCCAGTGCGTCACCATTCTTCTTTAGCTCCTTGCTAAAGAAGTACTTTTACTATGAAATTACCTGAAACAAATATAGGAATATATATATATATATATATATATATATACACACACATATATGTATATAACATTTATTTTTGTATTTAACATTTATAACAGAGTGCTTTTGTAGATCCTGAATAATTAAGACATGAGTAGAATTATCTTGATTTTATATTTATGCTTTTTTATTCTTTGAAACTAGTGTGTTTAGTATCCTTTTTCTATTTAAAATTTTGTGTTTTGGCTGTGTGTGGTGTTTTCATTGTGATATAAATTTCTTTTGGTATTTCATATTTCTGTAGCTGAAATATCAGAAATAATAAGCAATGCATGCATAGTGAGAATGTTTACATATCACTGAGAGACACATTTTCATTGTTTTTTGTAGTTCTAATTTTGTGTCTGAAAGTTATGTGTGAAAAAATAATTTTTTTTGTTCATATGCAGAAAAGATGAAAAGGAATATGCATTGAAGCAAATTGAAGGCACAGGAATATCCATGTCGGCTTGTAGAGAGATTGCAGTAAGTGGATACAAATACAGTTATTTTATTTTGTTACTAATATTGGTTGATGATTGATACTAATATAAAATAGCTTCATTAATGTATACTGAATGGTTATTTCAAATATGTTAATTAGATAATTTTATATGAGAAAAGCTTCATAAACTTTTTACTTACTTAAAAGTCATCTTTGACCATTCTCTTAATGATTTTTAGGATTTATATTCTTGGGGCTCCTGAGCTGAATAATGATTTAATTAAATTATGAGATATAGTTAATATTTTATTTTTATTTTAACATTTATCCTTTTTTACATTTTTTTAGACAATATTTGTTTCCCTCCACCCCCTCAGATTGAGTCCCTATAGAATTTCTTTCCCCATCACCACAGTCCCCTGTGCGCCTCCCTTCCTGTAGTTAATATTTTAAAGCAATAAATTAATGTATATTCATGTAAGTTTAGGACTTATGTATTTTTAATAGAGAAAAGTATAATAATGGTATTAACGTATTATGTATATTAAATATTTTTTCTGAAATATGTTTTAATGCTAGATATTACTAGCTGCTAGAAAAATATGACCATCATAATGACAGCATAGTTTGCTAAAGAAAGATCATTCTTTTTTGTTTATGTGACTTACTTATTCATTTGAAAAATGACTACTCATAAAAATACTAACTTTTACTGAATATTTATTAGGAACCAGACTTACTAGTGCTTTCAAGTATTTAATTTTTGTACTAATCTTGCATAATAAATACTTTTAATATCCCCTCTTTACAGATCAGAAAACAGTCCCCAAACCATCATTATGACTTAAAAGTCTTTTTATTATATTACCTTATTTTAGTTCTTGAATTAAGGTTTCTTACTGGGATTTCTTATGATACATAGTAAGGATTTATGCCTCTAAATTATTAAATATTTATATTGTCCATACCCATCAGCAATTTCTGTCTTTGTTTTGGTAGTTATACATATTGCCCATAGGTCAGTGAATGAGAGTTCCTATTTGTTCTACATCATTGCTAGTTTTCTGGCTGTCAGTGGTTTGGATTTTAGCCATTCTCATAGGTGTGTGTGATATTTCATTGTTACTTTAATTTGCATTTTTCTGATGTCATATGATATGGAACATCTTCTGAATATATTTATTTGTCATTTATCTCTTTAGTGACATATCTGTTACAACCTTTGACCCATTTTAAAATCAGGTTTTTTGTTTTTTATTGTCGAGTGTTAAGAATTCTTTGTGTATTTTGGGTATCATTCTTTCATACTTACGTGTTTTGCAGATGTTTTCTCCCAGTTTGTAGCTTATTTTTTTTATTCTCTTGACAGTGTCTTTTAAAGAGGAGAAGTGTTTAATTTAATGAACTTGATCTTACAATTCTTTTTTTCATGGATTGTGTCTTGGGTGTCCTAGCCAAAAAAATCATATCCAAGCTAACTGTCATCTAGATTTTCTTCAATATTATCTTCTAGGAAGTTTATAATTTTGTGTTTTCCATTTAGATAGGCAATCTATTTTTAGTTAATTGTTTTGAATGCGATAAGGTCAATCAAAATTCATTTCTTTGCTAGGGTTGTTCAGTTGTTCCAGCACCATTTGTTGAACAGATTGTCTTTGCTCCATTGTATTGTCTTTGTCTCTTTGTTAAAGATCAGATGACTGTATTTAAGTAGGTCCTTTTCTGGCCTTCCAGTTCAGTTCTTTTGCTACTACCACCCTGTTTTGTTTGCTGTAGCTTTATAGTAAGTCCTATCATCCTTAGACTTTCTTTTTTTTTTTTTTTTGGTGGCTTCATAACTTTGATAGCCACATAATTAAAAAATAAGTAGTCGAAGAATTTATAGCTGTGGAATGAATTTCAAAGGATTTGTACAGAATGGGATGAAGTTCAGCAACTAAAATGTGTTATCCCCTCAATTTTCATTAAAAATAATGTCATGTCACATTTTAATTTCACTTTATTTATCAAAGATGAATTATAGCCCTGTACCTTTATACAGTGTTATACAGATTACACTATACGATAACAAGCAGTCATTCTGGGTTATGAACATATAAAGAACATGTGAATGTTAGTACTTTTAGTTTGAGATTACAGGGAAATTATAATATAAAGCTTACTACTTTATGGTCTGTGGCCTGTGTAATCATAAGGCTGTTAGGTTGGAAATGTAGTAAATAACATTAATTCTGATTTTGTTGATTTATTTCTTGATTATGAAATGAAGATGTGTTTACTATAAAATTCTTAATGTGGAAAAGAGATGCTAAAAGCAGCTGTTATTGTGATACTTAGAAATAATAATTATTAATATTTTTATCTAATCCTCTAAATTTGTTTTCTTTGCAAAACTGCTGAGAATTTTCATCTCAAGAGTAGAGATTCTATTATTTTTTATAAAATATAATTTGATCTGGAGTCATACAAAGTAAATCTAAACTATCAAAATCAGTTGATGAACATTTATTAACCATGCCAGGCTCTGTGAGATATTAAAAGATTATAAGATGTAACTCCTGAGTACTCTTCAAAAAACTGAAATGCTCCAAAGGAAAGTAAAGATAGTCTGAAAGGAAAATTAGTGAGAAGCAGGGTGATGGGCATAGATTGAGTAAGGAACAGAAATAGAGAACACCTGATTTCTTATCAGACAGCCGTCTTCCTTTAGTTTGGCTCAGCAGTGCAAGAAGCCACTTCCTCATTTGCCTCTGCTTAGTTCTGTCCAGAATTTTATGTGTCCACCAGCATCTTAGCATTGATGCTACTACAGGGAGACGTGGGATCAACTGTAAAGGACTCACTTGCAGTTTTTCTGCATAGTGCGGAGCTAGCAGGAAACAGTGGCAGTTGAAAGACTTGCCACTATTTCCCCCGCCTTTTTGCCACTATGGGTGGTGTAGCGGGCTGCTATGTAAACTTCAGTGGTATGCTTGGAATTTTCCTGTTGGCAAGAATAAGCTTTGCTTTTTTAAATTTATGAAATGGAATTGATAGTATGTATGTTTGCTTCAGGTTCCTTGAAAGGAACTTTAAAATGACTATGAACATGGCATCAATTCTCACTAATAATAAAAATATATAAAATAAAAAAATAAAAAAAAAGAATTTAAAAAAAAACAAGGGTGGTGGGAATTGTATGGGGATTATAACCAAGATGAAAATGGATGCATTGTGCAAAAATGAAAAATGATGTAAAAAAGTTATAAAATAAAAAATAAATAAAAAATGAAAAAAGAATACAATTCTCAATAATATATTAATTTTTATCAACTTAAAAACTATTTTGTTAAATTTCGTGACTAAGGTGCAAAGTATTGGTTTATTCTCATTATGATTATTTAATTACATCATCTCAATTGTTTTTGTGTTGCACTGAGTGCAAATTTTTCCTTTAATATAGGTCCAACTTTGTAAGTATAGATATGTGGAAATAGGTGATATTAGTCATTTTCTCCTCTATAAGTAAGGCACAAAATCAAAGTATAACATTAGGATTTTTGTGAAAACCATTAAAGGTAGAAAATCTTTTTCCCAGTGGACTTTTACAATGATCTGCTGTAATAATTGTTTTTATAAAATATTTGGCATGATTTTAGGAGGCTGGAACTAAATTAATTATGTATAAAATTGCCTTTGAGCAAAATGAGTACATTTGCTCTTTTGTGTGATCCTTGTGTTCTCCTTAGAAACAAAAAAGTTTTTGGAATTGAAGTCTCAGCATAGATTTTTCCTCATTAAATAAATGTATTTGTTTTCTTGTGTTGAATAGTGATAGTTCTCATGACTATATTCTTGGAGACTCATAATGAGATGAAATTTTGTATGAGTTGGGGGTGGGGCTTGGGATTTACTTTTGATTGCATCTGGAAAATGGATACAGGGTTAGTGCATTGGGACCATCCATATGTAATGCTTTTCATTTCTTTTTAAGAGTTGAAAAGGTACAAGGAGTCAGCCTAGACATAGATTCCCTTGGTGGAATCTGCCTTACTATATATGTTTGGCCATCAGTCTCTTAAAAATTATTATTTGTGACTGTGTGTTTCCTGTGAGAAGACTTACGTGATAAATCTTTATATTCTCAGACGCCGATTTAAGTATTGTTGCCAGTAGTAGAAAAGAAGTGAGCCATACAGGTTCTTAGGATTTCGTGTAAAGGAGACTAAAGTTTTGTAGAACAGTATGAGAAGAGAGAATATGGTTTGGTGTCTAGTTTCTTAGGTATGTATGTATTTCTATATGTGTATACTGTGCTGAGGGAAGATGGATTGGTATGTTTACACAAGTCATAGGTATAAATGAGTCCTGTCCCCCCACCCCCAAATTCCATGTCTCTTTTTCCTTCCCCTATATATGAATAGATTAGTGGTTGGAAGTAGTGCTTTTTTTTTTTTTTTTTTAAAGTCAGACATTTTTTTTTTTTTTTTTAATAGAGGCATGTTTTATTTATTTATTTGTTTGTTTGTTTTGTTTATACATGCACTGGGTACAGTCAGAAGAGCGGGAGGGTGAGAGAATTCACCAGAGCCAGAGCGGGGAGCAGAGCAGGCAGAAGGACCGAAGTACACTGCTGAGGGGAGCAGCGGGCGGCAGGAGAGGTCTGCGCGCCATGTGGGACCCTCCTCCAGTGGCCGGGGAGCAGCCGGGGATTGAACCGGCGCCGCAGAGGCCTATGGGCAGCTTCGCAACCCAGCGCTCAACCACTGCGCCACCAGGGAGGCCCGGAAGTAGTGCTTTTAGACACCTGTAGTTGCTGCAACTCCTTTCTCTAAGTGAAGAATTGGTGGGTTATGATTGAAGAGTTGACTTTCTGCTGTGTCATTTATCCCTTCCTACTAAGTGAATTAGTGGAGTTATTTCAGCTCTCCCCAAAATGTAAAAATGATCAATTGCATATTCCTGCTCTAATTAAATTAGATTTGATTGGCTACTAGCTCCCTATTTTTAGTGTTTTTTTTCCCCCTTGAATAATATTAAAGTAAAATTATGCTAGTGATAT